AAGTGGAAAGTAGCAATGCCAAGTCCTTTTTATCTTTGAATTAAATCTCATATAGGTCATTCATCTTAGTTTTTAATTTAATTAAATCATTCATCACCAAAACCCCCCTTTATTTACTAAGTTTCATAAAAAGAGAATTATTCCTTTCCCTGTGGATACGAACTCTACTTCACTTATACTACGTATAAGTGTTAGTATCGAATTATTTTGACGCACCGTGACAAAGTGCTCGTCAGTGATCACCATATTAAAAGTGACATCTTTATACGTTTAGTATCATAAAATGACATCGTTTGGAAAACAAATCAAAAATGATGTTGTGATGTTGATAATTATAGTGTCATGAAAGTGATATTTTTTAATAACGTGGCTTTCTCAAGTTTTAAAAGTGACATTTTTGTAATATCTAGTAGTTATGGCGTTCTCATATTCCATATTGATCGAAATTGATAAATAAACAAAAAAATCACTCAAATGTTTCTTATCAATGTCATTCAAAGAAATATGGATCTTCATCTGAAATTTCCAAATCTACAATTTTATTTAGAATTTGAAAATGTCACAGATTACTTGAAAAACAGAAAACAGAGGACCACGCGGAGGGGGAGGAGGAAGAAAAAGAATATCTAACTTCATCGAGAAAAATCACAGAAGATGTGAGCGTCTAGCGGTGATGAGCATAGGACTGTGGTCGATGGCGGAGAATTTGCGACCATAGGTCCATCGCAGATTTGTGGGGCAAGGGGTTGCAATTGATGGCGGCCGATGGAGAGGGAGTAATCACATGGGTAAGGGTTGCTATCAATGGCAGAGGGGGTTGGGAAGTCCAATCAATGATTCTGAAATTAAGGGTAAAAATTAAATGTAATTTGCAATCATATTTAGGGAATATAAAATTTAATTTCCTATTTGAGAATTATAAGTATATTATATTTTAGATCCATTTAAGATAATTAATTTACTATTTAATGAGAGCAAAAAATGAGAGGCAAATGACATTTACTTTTGAGGCAAATGATATTTTTATTTATTTATGGGATACCTAACACCCATTTGAAAAGATATTGGGAAAATTACCAAAATAAGAGTAAACAAGTTTTAAAATTTTAAAATATGACTGCTATGTTTTTCTATCCAAAGTGAGAGTAACATGACAGTATTTACTGTCAACTTGGAGTCATTCTGCCAAAATAGTTGCATTATTATGCATTGACACGTCAATATTTTTCGATCATCAGTAACGATTCGTATTTTGGGAAGAATAACATAGCAGTCATATTTTTTTTTGGAAAAGCGGCTTATATTGATATCAAAGCATTCAGCCACGAAACAAGACGATATCCCATGGTGCTTCTCCTCCCACGTTCTTCTGCGTTTCTGCTCTCCTGAAAAGCCTTCCATGTCAGTTGTTTCACCCTCATCCCTTCTTTGTGCGAGCTTCCACCACAGAAGTTATCCCACGTCCTCTGGCCCAACTACCTCCTCTGTGCTGCTTGTTTCACTCTGGTGATTAACCTTCTGGCTCAGCCCAGTTCCACTTGAAACGCCTTCAGTAACTAGCCATTTATTAGCCCTCATCGGTCAAGCTTTCCCTCCCTCCCCCAGTACGAAGATGGACCCCAAAAGGTTGTTGGTGGAATTCAGCCGGATATACCTGCAAAAAATCGTTAGAAAATAAAATAGCTCGAGTCGCGTAAACGCTGTCCTCAAGAAAGTATTTCCGACTAGCGAAAACCTTTCCCCAAGATAAAACGAGCTCTTCGGCGTAAGCCGGTAACAGAACAACGAGACTGGAAGAAATTATTAATCCACCAGATAGAAGTATCGTGTGAGGGAGTTTTTGGTTCGTAGCTGCTATTTCAAATATAAACAAGTAGCTGAATATATATAACATGCATTAGCATTTAAAGCTCAAGCTAGAAAACATTTTATATAAAAGCATGAGTTAAAAGCTTAACGTTAGTGTATTATAGTTTATAATGTTAATGGACTATTTAATACACTTTTAATAATAATAACAAAAGCTACAGCTCATGTAACAGTTTTTATAAGAGCTCAATAAACATTCATTAATTATTTATTTTAATAGAATATAAAAATATCTAAATTATAAAATTGATCAATAAAGTATTTTTCATTTGAAATACTCTCAATATTCCAACAATCCCCCACATATTTCAAATGAATAATTTTAGATTTTTAAAATAGTTTATAAAATTTCTGCTGGATTAAAGGAATGAGACTTTAAGTTTGGTGTTCGTAGACTATGAACCAAACCGAGACGATTAAGTCTTAATAAACCGAGCTTTTAGTGAAACATATAGTTTCTATGAACCAACAAGCTACTATTGGTAAATCAGGGTCTTAACAGTCGTGTCTCATCCTGCACAATTTCTCGTTATTACGCCGTTGTGCGTCGTAAGGCCATGCGCGTGCTTGGTGTTCATGAGTGCTCTAGAAGTTTTGTCATGCTTCATGGAGGCAGCCCCACCTCACACTCATATAGGTGATATCATCAAGTGTGTACCGCTTTTGCACACCACCCTAAAATTAAGGGCTATGATAATCATTAAGAGCTTTTAGCTCAATCTCTCAAATAATGCGGTTTCTAGCCTATATCTCACATCATGGAAATGGACAATTTTAGTTAGGCTAGCAGAACTAAATGGAAGACTTGTTATTACCCATATGAACTTGCTTCATGGGATCTCCAATCACACAAGTTGGGTTCTCATCCCCATTTGTTTCAAAGTGACACTAGTCTCATTTCCTTCGATGTTTCGGTTATCAATTTTTTGTCCTAGGGATTCTGTCAAAGGAGTACCTAATTCCTTCTGACCTCACAAATTAATGGAAATAATTCCATTCTCAAACATCATTTCACCACTTTTAATGGTGAATGGATATCCACTATTTTAATTTATCTCATGCGAGTCGACTCATATGTCGTCGTTGTATCCTGATAATACAACGGATAATTCTCAATAAGAAATAACATTGATGTGACCCCTTAGTACATCGGATAATTTTCAATGAAATGTATACCATCATTGTATTATTATAATACAATGGATAATTCTCATATAACATCATTGTAACGCTATAGGACAATGAATATTTCTCAATAAAACATATCATCGTTATATCAATAGATTACAACGGATAATCTCAAAAAAAAATCATAGGTAATGGTGCTTCTCAAATATCTCAATAACCGCCTCAACGCAGTCCAATGATCCCTACTTGGGTCATGAGCATACCGGCTCAATCTTCGGACAACACAAACTATGTCGGGCCTAGTATAATTTATAAAATGTAATAAACATCCAATAATTTGGGAATACTCATATTGAGCCTCACGAGTGATCACCTCCAATTTTTTTTTAAGTGCATATGAAAGTCATAAATGATACTCACGGGTGTGACATTAAAATATACAAACCTCTTTAGAAGTCTATCAGCATAATGCTCTTAAGATAGTATAACACCTGATAGAGTATATCTAGAGAGAAGTGAGAGCTAGAGAGAGAAGTGCAATAATATGCTTCAATAGAATGAATTTGTAACCCCTATAACTACTCCCAAGGGGAGTATTTATAGAGAAAATACGGGCTGGGCTCCCAAGCCTTGGGCTTGGGAGGCCCATTTACAACTGGACCGCTACTGGGCCGAATACAAAGCCACTAATGGGCTGTACAAATGAGTAAGTCTAAAATCCGGTTCTGTGAGGTCTTCGTGGCCGACGAGGGCATGGCCGACGAGGTCATGGCCGACGAGGGCACGGCCGACGAGGGCGCGGCCGACGAGGGCACCCGGGTTCCTTGGCTTCAGGACCATATTCTGAGTTGGTACCTTTCTGGCCGACGGGGGTCCCTTGGCCGACGAGGGCACCACTCAGTGTCTTGTGCTTTCTGTTCTTCTGAGTATGTGGATCCGGGGGCTCAGACCCATATACTCCATCAGGAGTCCCCCACTCTCTAAGCTGAGACGTAGGCGAAGTGAAGGAGAGTAGATTCCCGTGCTTTGGTGCTTCTAGCCGACGCGGGCACCCCCAAGCCGTCAGCTGTTGCGGCGTTGGCGCTGTTTCCCTTTTGGTGACCTTGTTCTGCGCTTGGCCGTCACCTGCTCCTCGCTGTGGACGGGGAGGCCGTTGTTTCCTTGGTGTGTTCGTTTGGGGACGATGATTGTCCTGCTTCGATGGTGGCTGTTGAAGGCGCGTTTTCCCTTTCTTGGACGTTGGTGGTTGAGATTTACATTTGGGCCGATGAGGCTGTTGAGGTTGAACCTTGCTTTGAGGACGATGGTGTCCTTTCCTTTGGGTGGCCGGTAAGGGTGCTTGCGCACTCCTTTTGGCCGTCGCTGACTGGCTTTCGTGTCCCCGACCGAAGAGCCCATTATGGTTAACTGTTGGCGGGGGACGATGAATGTCCTTGCCTTAGGTGGCCAGGTGGCCGTTGTTGATGACGTTATGTGCCTTTGGCCGACAAGGCGCAGTGTGATACATGGACGATGTGGCCATGCTTTGTGGTTACATTTGTGTTTGCATTTTTCCTTTTGTTTTGTTGAGGCCGATGTAGTCCCCCAGTCCCCCACTGCTTCAGGCCGAAGACAGTGAGGGGTGAAGGAGTTGCTTGAGTCCCTGGCCGAAGCGGCCTCTCCGTAGTCCCCCTGAATCCAACCCTCATGGCGATTTTCTGGCCAAGGTAACCCTGTGGGAGAACCCTTGTGCGCAGATCGCTTGTAAAGAGTTATCATCAAGGGTCGTTACGGAGAGCCGATGGGCGTTCATGACATTCTTGGCCGAAGTTATCCACAAAGTCCTTAGCACTTACTTCCCCCAGTAACTTCTTATACAAAAACTCAACACCATCTAACTTTAAACGGGGATCAAAAACAGCAGCACAAGAAAGAATGAGATTGTAATCTTCCCAATATTTTGCAAATTTCAATTGCATTTGAGACACCATGTTAGATAAAATGCTGGGAGGGGCAGCTGCTGTTTTTTTCAACAATCTATGAATTTTCCACACCCCACAAAAATAAATATTAGAGGTCGGTGTCTTAGAAGCAGAAAAGTCATTTGTCACATCAAAAAATACTTGCAAGAACTTCTTCAACTGACTTACCTTTGCCCATTCCTCCTCTGTGAGACGATACCATTTCAAATCTACATTCTTTCCAACAAAGCTATCAATAGCATCCCGAAAATAAAGGAAACGATCCAACATAGTGAAAGTTGAGTTCCACCTAATAGGTGTGTCTAACCGTAGCTTCTTGGTGGTGTTCAAGTTAAAAGTAGTGGAAGCTATCTCATAAATTTTTTTGTTTTTTGGCATGGAATGCCTCAAATGTGTTACTGTTTTCCTTATCTTAATGACAACATCATCAATGAGTTTCAGCCCCGCTTGAACCAATAGGTTAATAATGTGACAAGAACAACGGATGTGAACAAAATTCCCATTCAACAACAAGGTGTTTTTTCTTAACAGGTGCTTTTTAAGGGATGCTATCATTGTATCATTATAAGACGCATTATCAACCGTAAAACTAAACACCTTGTGACCTATTTTCCATTCACCAAAACATAAAAGAATCTCATCAGCAAGAGAAGAACCATCTAATGAAGGAGGTAAAGCCGCAAATTTTATTATTCTCTTTTGTAGCTTCCAAAATTTATCAATCCAATGAGCTGTAACACACATAAACTCATCACCCGTGTGTTCACTCCTCCAATTATCAGTAGTGAAACAAATACGACCAGGAGCGCTTTCAAGCTCTTGAGCAACAATAAGTTTATGGGATTTATAGTTACTCACAGAATCTCTTTTAACGGTCGCTCTACTAACCTGATGAAACTGAGGTGCAACAACACTCATGAAATTCTTAAAACCAGGTGCTTCAACAAGTGTAAATGGTAATGCACATGACACAAAAAGAACATAAATAGCTTCACGAATGGCAGAGGGGCTAGGAAAAGGCCTACTTAAAGACATGGTATTCGCAATTTTTGTGGCACATTCTATAGTAGAATCACCAACAATACAAAAGTTTCTGATGTTATTATGCTTACGTGCAGCACAATGAGACACATGTCTTTTCAAATGAGAAGTTCCACTCTTAGAATTGGCAGTAAAGATTTTCTTTCAGTGCTTACATGTAGCTCGAATCACCCCATTACCCAAAACATCTCTCTCCATATCATCCCACACATCGGATTTCAGTTTTTTCCCTTTCAATGTGCATTGGTTTGTTCTACTTTGATCTCCCCCTTCACTGTCTATTGCCTCTTTTTCAATGTGATGGTCTTCCACTGATCTAGGTTAAATAAAAATCAAAATAAATAAAAAAGTACGAAGAGTGAAATCTATAATAATTTTTCCTAATTAAAATGTAAATATTCATTGAAGTAAAATAGTAAAGTAACTCTTAAAGTTTGAGGAAATGTATGAAAGAGCATTCTAATTTCATAACGTGGTCACTGTTATGTTTTCTTGGGAAAACATGATCTGAGACCAGCAGTGAGTCAGTGACAAAACTATAAGTTCTCCAGCAAGATGAATGAAAGTCAACAAGCATTCTTAATTGGAAATGCGATGAAAGTGAATGGACCAAAATGGGGTTATCTTCCATCACAACAAAAAAAGCATGAACGTCTCCCAACAAGAAGGTCAGCGACCCACTTCTAGCGACAGTCCCAAAAAAAGCATGAACGTCTCCCAACAAAATGGTGTTTCATATTTCAGAATTCCGAACAACTAATTCATTGGATGCATGAGTAGAAAATTAGAGAGTTTGATGCAGTATAGGAGTAGTAATTAATAACTTGAAATAGTTTTTCAAAAAAAAAACTTGAATGGAGGTGAACTAACTGAACTTATTCCGAGCAATTAGTAACTAATTCCGAGCAACAGATTTAAGAACGAGAAAAGAAAAGAAAAGGATACCGGAATACCTCATTTGAGAAGGAGACGAATCCATGGATGGAGGTGAACTCACACCTTGATCTGGAGACATGGAAGCAATTGAATAATTGATCTGCTCTCCTGCTTGGCTGCTAGTCTGCGTACTGCTACTCTGCCTGAGTCGGCTGAGTGCCGAATGCCGATTAGTTCTCTTTGCCTATTTTGTTTATGCGAAATAGGGTTTAGGGAATTGGGTTATGCGGTTTGGAATTGGGCCGATGTCTGATGGGTATGGTCTATTACCGTAAGATATAAGGAGTATATCTTAATATATATTATATATTATTATATATATTATAAATTTTCGGGCCGGGCTTTTTGGCCCGAACGGGCCAGCAATAGAACCCAAACCCGCCCACATTTTTACCGGGCCCGGCCCGGCCCGGCCCGGTGGGCAAATATACATGTCCAGACCCGCCCATTTATATGGGCGGGCTGGGCGGGCCGGGCGGGCCGGCCCGTGTTTGTACAGGTCTAGTGTTGGCATTTGTGAACTTGGCAGGCGTATAGGCCGTTGTGGGCGCTTGCTGGTACTTGTGAAGCCGACAAGCATATAGGCCGTTGTGGGCGCTCATTGTCCGTGTGATCCGTAGGCTTTTACTCCGCTGATACGTTGGTTCACGAGCCTGGCCCATTTCTGAAGGGGTGGCACCTCATCGGCTGCTGGGAAGGTGACCGCTGAGGTGGCCATTGATATGGTGCCACGTGTAGTGACCGTTGGAGATTTGTCTATAAATACCCCCCCTCCTCCGAAGCGGTTCCTCACTTGCATTCTTGAGATATTGAAGTGCTGCCCAAATTTCTAGAGAGAGAGAGTCTTCAAGGTGTTCTTCGAGTTATTCATACCTTCAAGGTTAGTTCTTGACTTGTTCTTCAATTCCTTTGTATACTTAGCTTCCCTGAGCCTTGATCTAGTGTTAGTGGATAAAACACCTTAGATCCTAAGTTATTCCCCTTAGGCTCTTAATAGTTGTTATGATGAAGAGCTTAGACGAAGAGTACTATCCGTACGACGACCAGCCCTCCACTAGGTCACTCGACTATGAGGTGCTTGAGGAGTTCGAGGAAGAGATAGAGCGTTTAAGTCCTTACAAGTCCGGAGAGCCGGTGGACGACGAAGGTGAGGACGAGGAGTCCGCCTCATCTTCAAAAGGTGAGGACGCAGGTGCGTCCCGAGTGGTGGTCGGGGCGTCCACTTCCGCTGTTATTCCGTGCCCCAGACCGGTGTCTGCCGTGAAGGGAGCAGATAAGCCGAAGAGAATAAGGAGGCCGAAGAGTGGGCCGGGCGTCTCATACCTGGATCTCACAAATATTTTCCTGATCAAGCCGGAGAGCAGCGCGGCTGACTACTTAGTTGCCCAGATGTACGTGGGGCCGTTCGGGAGGGTTAGGGCACCCAGGCCGACGGACCATGTACTCAATCCGCCACCGGGGTACTTTGGAGTATACCCGATGAGTTTTGCCAAGGGGCTGAGGTTTTGTGACACTCCAAAAATTTAAATAAAATAAAATAGATAATTTCGTTATCAGATAAATTTATAACAATTACCCGATAAAATTATGACTTATAATAAAAAGTGTTACATCTTAATAATAGTAGATAAAATTGAAAGAGCATTTTAAAGACCGATTAACAATATGTTTACAAAAAAAAAACTATAAAAAAAAATTAGCAAAGGTAAAATTTTCAAATATGTACAAACCAACCGTAAATAATAATCTCAATACAAAATTAATACTCTGTACACGCTTAATAACTCACGTGCACATTTACAAGGAAACGAAGAAACTACTGGTCTACTGCCATAACTATACTCACACACGCATTGACGCATACGACTGAAACGTTAAAATACGAAGGTTAGCACCCGGAGGATACTCGCCGTAACAAATAAGAGCTCAGATTTTTACGCATGAAACGTAAGTCTGGAGTCTTCTAAACGGCCCATATACTTATATATATATTCGTCCATCGATACAAAACAAAACCCTACGTGAGTCGCCTATCATTCGCCACAATGTGACTCTATTCTGCGATCTCAATATACACATGCGCTTCCATATAACCTGCGCAAAATAGAAACAGAGCCGGAGAAGAGAGAACGATCAAGGGAGTTACATACGTATCCGATCTCGGCGTTTTCGTAGCCTTCCATTGGCGTAACCTTGCCGGTTTCTGGGGACGAACACCCACCTGAGCGACGGAGAAGAGGATAAAAACCATCGCCGCCGCTGAGAGAAGGAAATTGTCGGACCTACGGTATCCAGAAGAAAAGGACGTCTCCGCTGGCCGTTTCCCTTTCTCCACCAGAAGGAAGTACCACCGCAGGAGAAGACGGAGTGCTGCGCCGGAGAAGAAGAACCATACCACCATCTCACCACGTCGCTGGACTGGAACCGACGAAGAAGCTAGCGAACGAAATACGTAGCAGCAGACTCACCGTCTTTGTGAAAGTAAGAGGAATAAGGGCGTGGTGCTTCGTTCGTACCAGAAGGAAAAGAATCCATTGTCGCCGGAAAGAGAAAGTGCATCCGAGGCTCGCCGGACCGCACCGTTGCGGCAGAGCGTCTCCAACCTACTGCTGCTACCTGCGTCGGGAATTGAAGAGACGGCCGTGACCCCTGCTGACCTGCTCAGAAGTTTTGTACAGTACGTCTCCCTTCTCTGCTTCTTTGCTGCGAATGGTTTTAGGGAGTATTAGGAAGTTAATCAATGGGCTGATTATAAGGCTTGGGCCGGATGGCTGTATAGATGAAATATAATGGATTATTATGGACCAATAAAATATTATTGAAGTAAGGAAATAGAAGTAATTAATCATAAATTGGGTAACAATAAGTATTAGATTAAAATAGTTATTAATTCTAGAATTTTAATATTTTAGAAGGTGAATTTGAAGAAGATCGAGATAGAAGCTTGGGTTATGAATTATCGTGATTTGAGGTAAGTTTCACATCAACCAAAATTATACTTTTCCTCGTTAATCATTTTTGAAATTATTTGAGTACTTTATGAGATTTCTAGTATTTACATTTGAGTATTTGAAATTTCTTATGGATTGTTATTGAGAATTATATTTGAGATTTGAGTATTGGATATTGGATGATATTTTTGAGTATTTGAGATATCTTACGAATTGTTATTGGGATTATGTTTATAAAGTATTTGGCTCGTTTGTGAAATTTTATTTTTATGGTGAATTCGAGTGTAATTTGTTGGAGTTAATATTTTACATTGAGGATGATTTTGTGGAGTTTGGATTTTATGTCCGTTTTGATTGAGATTGAATTATGATTTTGTGAGCACCCGGAGAAATCCGTGGTGTCGGTTTGCCACATCCGGATAAATGTGGAATATTTGGTGAGTGGTAATGGCTATAAGCCTAAATCCACCAGGGGTACTTTCCAAAAGTGGAGTATCCCAGCTTAATTGTAGTGTAGTTGGTAGAAAAATCCCGATTACTCGGGCTTCTTACTACCCGGAGGGCTTAGAATCCCTTTTAGGGGGTGTGCACACTTAAGGTAGGAGTTCGGCTTCCACTGAACTTGGTTTGACTGGAATTTGATTGGGTTGAGATGATTGAGATTATTTGATTGACTTGATTTGGACTTGAGGTGAATATTATTTGATTGTATTTGTGGTGGAATTGAATTATTGAATTGATTGGAATTGTTGGATTATTGGATTGGATTATATTTGGATTGAATTTGAGTTGGATTGAGTTATTAAATTATTTGTGAATTTTTAGAAGTATAAATATTTTTGGATTTGATTTGGTTTAATTATTTTGAATATTGTTTAGAATTATGTATTTTGAGATGAATATTTGATTTTTGATTTATGCTTTGAAATCATTGTGATCATTTTTGGTGGTTTATGTATATTGATATTTTGGAATTAGTATGGTTCTGAAACATGTACTTATATTTGAAATGTTGATATTTTGCATATTATTATGTTATAAGAATATTTTATAAATGATGTTTTACTTATGATTTATAAATTATTTTGAAAATATATTTTACGAAATGTTCTACAAATATACATTTATTTTATTTTATTTTGGGGTTAGGTGGAACTTACTTAGCATTGTTGCTAATGTTTGTTTCTTTTATTTTTTTCTGTACTTGATTTTGTACAGGTGTTGAGTTGATCTCGTTGAAGTTGATTTCGAGAGAGCTTCCGCTAGAACATCAAATTAGTAAATAATTGTAATTACATTTTTTTTAGCATCTTAAATTAGTGAACATTTATTTTAGAAGTTTAATTATTTTGAGTTAGATTGTTTTAGCCTGTGCACTCGGTTAAGGGAGAACCGAGTGTGGCGGTAACACCCTATTTCCCTTTTGATTTCCGCTGCACAGTTCTGATGTTTCTAAATAATGTTAATAAATAATGTTTTATATACAGGTATTTTTGGGTGAGAAATTTGGGGGTGTTACAGGTTTCCCCTTCATCCCTTCATCACTGAATATCTTGACATGGTGGGGCTCCCTCCGGACTTGCTGACGCCGAACAGCTACTCGTTGATGGTGGGGTTCTTGCTCCGCTGTGAGGAGCTGGGCTACAGGCCGGCGACGGCTCTGTTCATGAATCTTTATCAGATCGGCCGAGGAAGCCACAAAAACTGTGCGGCCTATGCTACCCTCCAACAGCTGCCGAAGAAGAGGAGCTTCACGGATTTGCCTTCGTCCATCCATGGATGGAAGAGCAAGTTCATTTTTGTATCCCTTGGTGAGAATGACACTGAGTTTCCCTCTCTCGGCCACGCCGGGAGGTTCAACCTGCATGACCCACCGAGGAGATCGATCTTGGATGCTCAGGTGGAGGCGTTCTTGGAAGGGGGGCCGAGGAGCGTGAAAGACTACATCACCGAATATAAGATGACCACCCTCGGCTTCTTAAGATACTATGTGTATGGCGACAAGGAGGACGATGTCCAACTTTGGCCGAGGATGACCACTACCTTCGAAGAGGTCGACGGCCCGGATTTGGGCATTCCTGCTGAGGCCGATGGTAATTCTTTCTTCGGCTTTCTTCCTTTGTTATTTGTTCTTTTGCCTTGCTAATCTGTTCGTTTTCCTTTGTGTAGATTTTGTCATGGATCGCCGTTCAATCATGGCCATAGCCAAGGCCAAGGCGGCCGAGAAGTTGGCTGGAAAGGCGGCCAAGGCGGCCAGACATGCCGCGGCCGAGGGGGGCGAGGCTACTACTAGTGCGGCCCCGAAGCCTGCCCAGTCCAAGAAGAAGAGGCCTCCCACTGACGGCCAGAAGAAATTGACCGAGGCTGGCCTGAATGTTACTAAGAAGACGAAGAGGGCACCGTCTCCTTCCCATGCCGATGAGGCCGGCACTCTGACCGTCCCAAATGTGGACGATAGTGGTCCCGTTGTGGATCTGACCGCTGCTCCAAGCGATGCTGCCCAATCGCTCCCTCTTGTCCAGGAGCCACGGACGAAGAGGGCCGGCAAGGAGATTGCCGCTGCCACCTACCAGAAAATTGTGGAATACCCCGTCGGCGGGGGTGTCTTTGACGATGGCGTCCTCGGCCACGATGTGCTGGCCCAGGCCATGCCGGCCAAAGATCGGGCCTACCTCAAGAGGCTCGGGGACGTCAAGGTGTACGAAGGCGGGATGGACCTCATCGTCCAAGTAAGTTCCCTTCCTTTTTATTTGTCGTTTTTCTCGTCGTCCGGGTGGAATCATTTGCCTGAGTCTTTGTTTGCCTTTTTTGTGCAGGGTGCCTTCATGCTCATGGAGAGCCACAAGAGGCAGCACCGGGAGATTGCTCGTCTGAAGGAGCTTGAGCAGAAGGCTGCCTCGGCCGATGAGGCGGTGGCCTGCTTGGATCGGCTCTGGGAGGATGCCAAGGCCTTGCAACAGAGGGCCGATGAGGCAGCTGCAGCCAGGGACGATGCCCTGGCCAAACTCGAGGAGAGCCAGAGGGCGCTTGAGGCTGAACGGCGCAAAAATGATGAAGCCGTGAAAGCAAAAGCTGAGGCCGAGGCTGCCGCTGTGAAGGCCGCTGATGAGGCCGTCCAGCAGTTCTTGGCCGAGGGGTGGAAGGCCGACGAGCGGCTCTCCTGGTGTTATGAAGTGGTGGCCGCCAAGCTTGAAGATTGGGGAATGAACTCCCCCGCCGACCAAGAGTACTTTAGCAGGGAAATGGCTGTGTACTACAACATGGGCCAAGAGCGGATGCAGAGGCTCCTGTGTCGGCGGCTATCGCGTGCCCTCAAAGCCATGAACTATACCTCCGGGTGGGCGAGGAGGAACCTGAAGCTTCCCAAGCTCATGAAGGATCCCGAGGAGCAGGCCAAGCTTCCTCTTTCGGAGCGGGAGCCCCCAATCGAGAGTTCCGACCTCAGCGAGCCGGATTATGACGAGTTTGACTTCCTGGATGATGCCACCAGTTCTGCAGCTGCTGTCGGCCAGGAGACTGAGGCCGAGGAGGGAGCCGAAGATGCTGAAGAGCAAACCCAGGCTGGGCATGGAGGCGCCCAAGAGACTTGATCGGCTACTCCCCGCTCCCTATCTTGTAATTAATTATCTTCTATTTTTTGCCATCTGATGTAATGGCCGAAGCGCCCACCAATGTACATGATTGTTTATGAATGAACCTTTTGCTGTCCTGCTCGGCTGTTGAATATCTTGTATGTTTATTCCCTTTTGCTATTTTAATTTTGAAATTTGTCTAAGTGTAAAAGTTACAACTTAGGTCACCCGCGAGTGTTTGCTACGTCCGTGAGGTAGCCCATTCAGTCTGGTGGCCTGGTCGGCCTGTCCAGTATCTCTTCGCTGTTGTAACACTTGGGATTTATTCAAAAAAATTCTAAGTGTTTTAGATCCACTTAGATAGGGTTTGTCTTAGTGTCGGAATTCTCTTAAGGAACCTTTTTCCCTAGAATTTTCTCCAAGTGTTTGGTAAACACTTGGACAAATCCCCAAAGAACTTTCGCTTGACCAACAGCCTGGGTTTCAGTGCCTGTATCGGCCATCCGGGATGCTGTGGCCAGTAGGGATTGTTCCTTGATTGCCTGATTCTTCCGCGGGTGTGATACTGCCCGCTTCGTCCTGGTCATCCTCAGGATTGCAATTCTTTATTTCATACCTAGTGTTGGTGCTTCAAAGAGCTGTGGCCGATGAAGGTTACCACTTGGTAGGGTTTTGTAGGCATATGCTTCGTCCTTGACTGTGATGGTCGTGCGGCCATATCGTCCATGTCACCTGTTAGTGGTACTACACTTGTGTTTAACTGATATGTACTTGGCCAAGTTTGGCCTGAGTTGTGGGGATTTTTTTTATCGCTCGAGGCCGGCAGGTGCGCGCGGTCCTCGGCTTCCCTCTTTTTTTTGTTCCCTATTTTAGGGGAGTATCCTTCTTTCAGGCTTCGGCCGAAGGGTGTGCTCGTCCTTCGGTCGGTTCGGACTTCGTTTATAACGTCCGTGATCTCAGAGCGGGTCCCGTCGCCTATTTATGACGCGGGCTAGACTTTTGGTCGGTTTCCAACGGTTGTCGTTGCCCATCCCTGAGTTTTGGGATTTTGTCACCTCGGCCATGATTTCAGGCCTGTCGTCCTGCGATCTGGCGCGTGGCAGACGCGGTGAGCTTCCCGTTTCAAGACGTGGGCCGTTTGCGGGCCCCTCGTCCTGGGGACATCGTCGGCCATACCTGAGTGTTTCACTCTAGGTTTACGGGGCCAGGACAATGTGCTCTCTCAGCTAGGTCTGAGCCCTTCGCTGATACAAAATACAATGGAGTACCTGGGCTTGTTGCTTCGCAGGTTGCAAATGCAAGGTGCCATATCGGCAATACCTGAGTCTTTCGCTCTGAGGTGGCCGATGAGGGAACCTGCTAGTTTTTTACTTTAAATTCCAGAGAAAAAATCAAGAGGAACATGATTTTATTCATAAGTGGCTCGAGGCCGAGGGTGGCGTTCAATCAGTAACCCGTTAAGGGGTGAGGGCTTCGCCGTCTGCACCTCCTTCGGATTACTGATAAAACTTCACCAGATGGTATACATTCCACGTTCGTGGTACATTGGACCCATTCGGGCGTTTAAGCTTGTAGGTGTCGGGTTTGACCACGGCACTGACGATGTAGGGCCCTTCGTACTTCAATGCTAGCTTGCCACCCTCTGTCGGCTGGCTTGCTTCCCTTCGACGGAGGACGTAGTCCCCCACTTGAAATTCCCGGGAACGTACCTGGGCGTCATAGTATGATTTTACTTGACGCCGGTAGTTCTCTGCTCGGACGTAAGCTTGCTCACGCCTCTCGTCGACCAGGTGCAGGTCAATCTTCATGTTTTCTTCGTTGGCGTCAGGCTCGTATTGTTCCACCCGTCGGCTGGGGATGGCAACTTCCGTGGGTGCCTTTGCCTCAAAGCCGTAGCATAGGGCGAAAGGCGTTTCACCTGTCGCCCTCCTCGGCGTGGTTCTGTAGCACCACAGGATGTTGGGGAGCTCGTCGACCCAACTACCTCCTGCGGCCTGGAGTTTTTTCTTCAGCCCCTTCATGATTGTCCTGTTGGCGTTCTCGACCTGCCCGTTGCCCTGAGGGTAGGCAACGGAGGAGAAATGATGCTTCACCCCAAACTCCCGGAGGAGCTCCTGAAAAGGGGCTGCCTCGAATTGGGTGCCGTTGTCTGATATAATCTACTGGGGGACGCCGAAGCGTGTGATGATGTTTTTGTAAACAAATTTTTGGCATCTGGCCCCCGTGATGCTGGCCAGGGGTTCCGCCTCGACCCACTTGGTGAAGTAGTCGACGGCGACGATGATGTAGCGGTTGTTCCCGGCGGCTCTGGGCAGGGGGCCGACCAGGTCAATCCCCCATCTAGAGAATGGAATTGCGGTGCTGACGGGGGCGTAGTTGACGGCTGGCCGACCAGGGGCCTTCTGAAGCACATGGCACGTGGTACACTTCCTGGCCAGGTCCGCACAGTCTCGCGCCATCGTCGGTCAGAAGAAGCCCTGGACGACGAGACGTCGGGACATGCTGAAAGGGCCCTGGTGCGAGGAGCAGACGCCACAATGAACTTCTTCCATGGCCATGTCGGCCTCATCCTGGTGCAGGCATCGGAGGAGAGTGCCATTATAGGATCGTTTGTAGAGTTTGCCATCTTCAATGGTGTAGCTTGGGGCCCTAAGTTTGGCAAGTTTGGCCCTCTCCTCGTCCGGGGGCAGCTCCCCAGCCGTGATGAAGGTGACGATGTCGGAGATCCAGTCCTCTGGTCGCTGTTGGATGCATAAGATGGGGCTGGCATGAATGCTAGACATGCTCAACTCTTCGATGTTGGCTATCCTGGAGATGTGCTCTGGAGTGTCTGAGCTGAGCTTGGAGAGGGTGTCGGCTTCGGCGTTCTCGGCCCTTGGGATCTGAGTGATCTCGTTGGTTTCAAATGCTTTCAGTAACTCCTCTGCTGCCTGTTTGTACTGTCGCATCCGTCCCTCCTTTGCTTCGTACGATCCCTCCACCTGGCCCACTACCAGTTTGGAGTCGCACTTGATTTTGAGGTGCTTGGCCTTGAGGCCGGCGGCGAGTCTGAGACCGCTGAGGAGGGCCTCATACTCGGCTTCGTTGTTGGATACCCTGAAGTTGAAGCGGATGGCATAGTAAGCTCTGAATCCTTCAGGGGATATGAGGACGACGACGCCACCGCATGATTTCGCGGCCGACGAGCCGTCAGTGAATAGGATCCATGTATCGTCCGGCTCCAGCCCGGGGTTGGCGACGGCCGTCTCCCTTGTTGTGCATTCAGTGATGAAGTCGGCCAAGGCTTGCCCTTTGATAGATGGCCTTGGCTTGATCTCAATTTGAAATTGGCTTTCCTGGCACTCCGTCGTCCACTTGAAGCTGTTGGCTTTACGCATGATCTGAAAGAAGGGGAGTGCCCTCTCGGCTGACCTGGAGAGGAACCGGTTCAGGGCCGCCAGGCGCCCCGTCCGTCGCTGTACTTCCTTGACGTTGCGGGGCGGCTCCATGTTGATGATAGCCCGTGTCTTCTCCGGGTTTATCTCGATGCCTCTCCGGCTGACCATGTAGCCGAGGAACTTGCCGCCCTGGACGCCGAAGGCGCACTTCTTGGGGTTGAGGCGGAGCCTGAACTCCTTCATGATTTCAAAGATTTCCCAGAGGTCGTCGGCGTGGGAGGAGGCCTGCCTGCTCTTGACGATCATATCGTCGACGTATGCCTCCATCGTCCGGCCAAGGACCGCCCTGAAGATCTTGGCCACCATCCTAGTATAGGTGGCGCCGGAGTTTTTGAGTCCGAAGGCCATGACGAGGTAGCAAAGGATTCCCTCTGGGTCATGAATGCCGTCTTCTCAGCGTAATCTTCATGCATGGAGATTTGGTGGTACCCTCTGAAAGCGTCAAGGAACGACATCAACTCGCACCTCGCCGTCTCGTCTACCAGCTGATCAATGTTGGGGAGAGGGAACGGGTCCATGGGGCACGCCTTGTTCAGGTCAGTGTAATCAACACACATTCTGAATGTTGGCGGTTTCTGGGCGAGGACGACGTTGGCCAACCACGTCGGGTACTTCACCTCTTTAATGTGTTTGATTGAGAGGAGCATGGCGACCTCCCCTTTGACGAAGTCCCGCCTGTCGGCGGACAAGTAGCACCGCTTCTGTTTGACGGGGGTGGAGGCCGGATCGACGGTCAGCCGGTGAGTAATCACCTGGCGGCTGATGCCTGGCATGTCGTCCGGGCCCCACGCGAAGACAACGGCGTATGACCGCAGGACGAGGAGGATAGCGTCTCGTTGGTCCTGAGGGAGCTGCATCCCGATTCTGAGGACCCGCTCCGGCCGGGAGGTATTCAGAGGGACTTCCTCGACCTCCTCGGCCGGTTCGGCATGCGGCCTCTCCTCGTCCTTGGCAACGGCTGCCGTGATGGTGTCTATCCTCTGTCCTTCCCTTTCGGCCAGCCTTGTTAGCTTGAGGTAGCATGCTCTGGCTATCCTCTGGTTTCCTCTGGCGTAGCCGATGCCGTCATTGGTGGGGAACTTTAGGCACAAGTGCTTCATGGAGATGATGGCCTCCAAGTCCTCCAGCGCTGGCCGTCCCAAGATCAGGTTGTGGGCGCATTGGAGGTTGACCACCATGAACTCCATGTCAATCCTGGCGCGGTGGGGGCCGTCACCGACCTCCACAGGGAGGACTATCGTGCCCTCGGCGTCGATAGAGTCCCTGGTGAAGCCGGATAATGGTGTCTTGATCGGCTTTAGCAGAGCTCTGTCCAGCTTCAGCTGCCGGAAGGTATCCAGGTACATCACGTTGACGGAGCTCCCCGTATCGATGTAAGTGCGGTGGATGATGGAGTCATCGATCTCACACCGGATGACGAGGGCGTCCCTGTGTGATTCCGTCCCCGGAGGCAAATCCTTGTCGGTGAAGGTGATCGCCTCCGTTCGCTGCTTCTTCGGCTGGGGGGGAACGTGGGACACCTCCCCAATGTAGAGGGATTGGGCCCATTTCTTTCTCTGAGTGGTGGAGTCCCCCCCAGTGTTCCCACCTACGATGAGGTGAATGTGATTCTTCTTTGGCGGGGGCTCTTCGAAGTCCTCGTCGTCGCTGAGCCTACCAATCTCCCGCTTCTTCGCAGAGGGCTCGCCCCCATGTTTGCCGGTGTTTACCCATGTGTTTTTGCGTGGGCCACCTTTAACAAACTGGGAGAGTTCCCCCTGGCG